TATGGTTCAGGGAGTGAACTCACTGAATGACAGTTGTAGTGTTTATATTGCTTTGAAGAACAGGGTCCAGACTATCTCAGAACCCTTGATGTTTCTATGGAGTAGGACTCTGGTGGATCTTCAATTTGGAGTAGATCTGTATATTCCCATTGACATATGTCACCGTGACTGAAAGGACATTAAGACATGCTGGGATGTCATGTCCATATGATGTCATCAGAGGATGGCACAGTTTATGATGGATTGTTCTCTCTTGTTTCTTCCTTCATATTCGGGGCGGTTGGGTAGCCTAGTGGTTACAGCGTTCCCTCGTCATGCCGAAGACCCGGGTTCGATTCCTGACATGGGCACAATGTGTGAAGCCCATTTCTGGTGTCCCCCGCCGTGATATTGCTGGAATATTTCTAAAAGCGGCCTAAAACCAAACTCACTCACTCCTTCATATTCAAGGCCTCAGTAAAGTTTTCAAAGCATTTTATGGTAGACATGTGGAGGACATTTCCAAATTTGAGGGATCATGACAAAAATGATGTCCAATGCAATTCCCTTTTTCGACCATGTGTTCTCATGTTTTTTTCTTGTGCCTTTGCATGTGTTTGTGATGGGTGCCACTGGTGGTGTAGGTTACGCCCTCCTTTTCACTTACACCTGTATTATCACTGTTTGATAGTGATTAATATCTCATGCCTTTGATATAGCATGATGTACTATGGTAATGGTTTTATTGCTTTTAGTTTATATCATGGCCCCAATTGTGATATTTTTAATAAAATTGATAATTAGTAACTTAATCAGTCATTTTGTTTGATGCTATGCTATTGTATAATCTACCACAGATATGAAATAGTGAGTGAGTTTTATTGAAGTCTTTGGATTCAGTCATTCAGTTATATCACAGCTTGTCAGCTTCATTTTGTTGGGAAGCTCAAAGTGATGCAGACTGTCAACATGACACACTTTGATGAAACACACGAGCATGGGTATGCTGCTGACGAACAGGGCAAATCAGGATTTGAACCCGCATTCATAGGTTTCTGGCACATCTAAGGGATGCAACTCTGCATGACAAATCACAGCATCTGAGAAAACTGGGCCACCCGTGACCCCAACTGGAAATTTGTGACCAATCTTAGGTCTGACAGCATAGATCTGAAATGTCACACTTCTCTCGTAGTAGCTACACCATCTCACAGACCCTGATGTTAATATATATCCTCCGCTCTCCCTCTTACTGTAGTAGCTACACCATCTCACAGACCCTGATGTTAATATATATATCCTCCACTCTCCCTCTTATTGTAGTAGCTACACCATCTCACAGACCCTGATGTTAATATATATCCTCCACTCTCCCTCTTATTGTAGTAGCTACACCATCTCACAGACCCTGATGTTAATATATATCCTCCACTCTCCCTCTTATTGTAGTAGCTACACCATCTCACAGACCCTGATGTTAATATATATATCCTCCACTCTCCCTCTTATTGTAGTAGCTACACCATCTCACAGACCCTGATGTTAATATATATCCTCCACTCTCCCTCTTATTGTAGTAGCTACACCATCTCACAGACCCTGATGTTAATATATATATCCTCCACTCTCCCCCTTACTGTAGTAGCTACACCATCTCACAGACCCTGATGTTAATATATATATCCTCCACTCTCCCTCTTATTGTAGTAGCTACACCATCTCACAGACCCTGATGTTAATATATATCCTCCACTCTCCCTCTTACTGTAGTAGCTACACCATCTCACAGACCCTGATGTTAATATATATATCCTCCACTCTCCCTCTTACTGTAGTAGCTACACCATCTCACAGACCCTGATGTTAATATATATATCCTCCACTCTCCCTCTTATTGTAGTAGCTACACCATCTCACAGACCCTGATGTTAATATATATCCTCCACTCTCCCTCTTATTGTAGTAGCTACACCATCTCACAGACCCTGATGTTAATATATATCCTCCACTCTCCCTCTTATTGTAGTAGCTACACCATCTCACAGACCCTGATGTTAATATATATATCCTCCACTCTCCCTCTTATTGTAGTAGCTACACCATCTCACAGACCCTGATGTTAATATATATCCTCCACTCTCCCTCTTATTGTAGTAGCTACACCATCTCACAGACCCTGATGTTAATATATATATCCTCCACTCTCCCTCTTATTGTAGTAGCTACACCATCTCACAGACCCTGATGTTAATATATATCCTCCACTCTCCCTCTTATTGTAGTAGCTACACCATCTCACAGACCCTGATGTTAATATATATCCTCCACTCTCCCTCTTATTGTAGTAGCTACACCATCTCACAGACCCTGATGTTAATATATATATCCTCCACTCTCCCTCTTAGTGTAGTAGCTACACCATCTCACAGACCCTGATGTTAATATATATCCTCCACTCTCCCCCTTACTGTAGTAGCTACACCATCTCACAGACCCTGATGTTAATATATATCCTCCACTCTCCCTCTTATTGTAGTAGCTACACCATCTCACAGACCCTGATGTTAATATATATCCTCCACTCTCCCCCTTACTGTAGTAGCTACACCATCTCACAGACCCTGATGTTACCTGTTGTAAGGGTAGCCTAGAGGTTAAAGCGTTCGCTCGTCACGCCAAAGACCCAAGTTCGAATCCCAACATTGGTACAATGTGTGAAGACCATTTTTGGTGTCCCCTGCTGTGATATTGCTGGAACATTGCTAACATTGGCATAAAACTATACTCACTCACTCACTTGTTGTAAGAGGCCACTAAACTTGATCAGTGGCCAGGGTTGGTTCATTGTGTGTCATCACATCCTTGGAGGCATGGAATATTATAAGTTGTCCACAGGTGGGGGAAACATGGGTTGATGTACCCTCTATGCTAGTCTATGTTCCCAGAACCCACAGGTAAGGGGAATATAACCTAACATTGAGGGTATGTCAACCCATGTCACTCGAGGGGCTGGTGGACAACAAATTTATTTTACCGTACACCTAATAATATTGCTAGTATGTCTTATGTATGCATGCTTTGGCCCAAATCAGTAAGCATACCACAGTTAGGCATTAATCCACTTCATTCATTAGCAGACAACAAAAAACAAATTATTCTCGCTAGATCTATTTCAGTTGAAAAATATTGTAAATATCCGGAGAATGCATTACATTATAAATTAGAGATACAAAATTGTGGTTGGTATGTTGCAAATGTAATGTCAACAGTTTGGAAATTCAAGTGGGGAATATAAGACTGTACCTCATATGTTAGCGGAGTACATTGGAAATAAAAGAATGGGGCTTAGCCAATAAGAATCTGACAAGGAAGATAATGCTCATTATATCAACCATTGGTTTGTCCACTGAGTGTGGCATTATTCAAATTTAATTAGCACAAAGCTATCTTAGCGCTAAGGTAATCATAACTCCCATACTTTAACACAGGCTTACGACAGTCGTAGTATTAAGATCGCTTTGTGCAATGGGGCCCTGATGTTGATGGCATTGGTAACTAAAAATGTTCAATAATTTCAAAAAAAGATTTTGAAATTTTAAAGATCAGCATTATTTGTGCAAGACCCTTCATCTTAACTTTCAAAATGCAAAAATATAATAAGATATGGTGCAGTCTGAAAACACTTGCTTAAAAAAATATAATAAGATATGGTGCAGTCCCCAGACAACACATTATCCTGTACATGACAATCAGAGCACATCCTCATAATCCTGGTCATGACACACATCTAACATTTGTCCTCCCCACCGCGCGTGTGTGTGTGTGTGTGTGTGTGTGTGTGTGTGTCTGTGTGTGTGTGTGTGTGTGTGTGTGTCTGTGTGTGTGTCTGTGTGTGTGTCTGTGTGTGTGTGTCTGTGTCTGTCTGTCTGTGTGTGTGTGTGTGTGTGTGTGTGTCTGTGTCTGTGTCTGTGTCTATGTGTTTGTGTGTGTGTGTGTGTGACATTACCATCAACAACCATCACCATATGCTGCATCAGAGCATTACATATATCAAATCACGCTGCCCTGAAACTTGAGTCACAGACCCATCAACCGAAAACACTTGCTTCAAATAGAACTATGTTTTCTATAGCTAACTGTATTCATTCTCAAGTTACAATCTAGCATCAAAATTCAATTATGGAAACCCGTTCAGGTACAATAGCATTTTAAATAACATTTGAAAAAAAAAATGTAAAAAATGTCTTGAATAGATTTTTTCATGTCATAAATTCTGTGACAAATTGTTCTGATCCTTCAAAATAGAAGATTCACTCTGCAAGCTATGTGAGCATATTCGATTAAAATATAATTTTGAAACTCTGTACTAGCATACCTACACGTTTCTCACTCTTCAATAATAAAAACATTACTGTAAAAAGGGAATAGAAAACATGTATACGTCACCCAGATTGTCTATCACTGAGACGTAAACATTGCAATACATATGGCGACCAACACCACCCAAGCTGGTCTACTTTCTTACACAACATCTCAGACAGGTTTTAATTCAAATTCATATAAATATAACTAGTATATATATTCTTTACCACCTATAACCCTTGGAAGAGCAATACCTGCTTTCTTTTTATCGACCATCCCCCTACCCTGTTGCCACCTAACATAGATGTCCTTCATTTCACATTTCCAGCAAGAGGTACAATACACCCCTATTATGAACAGAGGTGACAGTATTACCTGAGAAAGACAAAATGAAAACACCATAAAAGTTAAAAACTTAACATATTCAGAATTTTGTCAGTTCATTTTACAAGTATGTAAACCAATTAATTTGATATTATACTTCAAACTTAAAACATACCTGAATATGTAATATATGAATAATATGTATCCTGGCAACATATCCTGCATTTCGAGACACTCCTGTACCTTCAGTTTTAACCCACTTTTGCATTCCACTGATACCTGACAGGTACATAACACAGGTAAAACATCGCATTATTAAAAATATTCCTTCTTACCTGCACAAGAAACTCTCTGATAATCCGAATCCAGTAAACGAGGAATGTTCACAAACACTTCTATCTTGTCTGAACTTCACATTACACCTGAAGCATCCTAACGACAGGTAGCACAGGTGAGACAGGTAAAGAAGCTTTCAGCCGGTAAAGCGTTCAGTCCCTCGGCCCCTTTAAGTGGCATTTATCTGTCGGTGTAGTAATGAGGCCACTACAATGCTGCATGCTACAACAGCCTCATCCCCTGCGGCTTCTTAAACAAACCTTGTAAAATTGTGCGCGTCCATCACTTAACACAACGCTAATACAACGGTACCTTCCTATTGTATTAGCATTAACTTAAAACTAATGATCAATAGGTATCATTCAACTCTGCCTTTACACAACACACAATGTGACATAACTTGGTCTGTTAGATTGGAAATTAACTTGTTCCCACCATAGATCTGGCAATTTACGTCTTGGTGCTTGTCACAATATTCGTATAATATGACGGAAATTGCAAATAGTTTTGACAAATGTGAAGCATGACTGAACAAGAAAAGGCATAGATATTCATGTACGCTAACCCACATGGTCACAATCAGACTACTTGGTTTTATTATCAATTCAGCAAGAGCGTTCCCATCGCATGTGAAAGTCTTTTGGCTATTCAGGATTGCACATTGGTCTTGAAAGGTCCTTTATTGAACAATCGTTCCGTTTGGGTGGTGTTTATCCAAGTAAAAATGGTGAAGGACAACAGAGTATAGTTGGGATCCATAACTTGTCTCGTGGAGCCGATTGCACGGTCACATGGTGCGAGACAGCAACCGCGACATGGGAAAACGTGTACGGTCTTTCAGGCTGATTTACTCGACAGCGGGTACAAATGATTATGTCCATTTGAAGACATCTATTAACAGCACTTGTTACTGTTTGTAGTAAACATCTTCACATCGTGCGGTCGTGAAACGGTGATGCCTGAACAGTTTGATACAGTTTAATATTTGATCTGTTTAACACATCTATAGGGACATATTCCGCACATTCCAAATTTACCTTTCTCATTGGACAAAGTTTCCATGATAGTGATGAACAAAGAAATTGATGAAGAAACTACGATGGGAAAAATACATAGTGAAGATAGTAAATGGATGTGTTTTGTGACAGGACCTTACTGCTTAATGGATGATCAATCATGTGCCAAATTTGGGTTTCAACTTTTGTGTTTATCAATTCGTAAAAGATATATGGCATATTTTACATTATTGATGACAAAGGTCAATTTGGAGGGTGTATGATAAATGTGTCCTCCAGTTGAGCTGCATGAGAAATGAGGTAAATATCTTGATCATATCACTCCATTCCAGAAAAAACGTGTTGCTGAACACTGACATTGACCTCAACAACATAGCTAACAGATAAATATCATATCTGTCCAGGTTTTAAAACGCATGTCGAAACATTTAGCATTTTCAGCACATTTCTTTTTTCTCACGTTATGAATAAGTCTCATTGAAGGATATGGGCAATAAACCCTCAGATATGAGGTAAAAAGGGTTACCGCTAACTATCCATCCGTGGAGGGTTATTACTCAATTAAAATCTTCAAAAGATCATAGTTCTCAAGGGAAAATGGGTTTTCAGTCACATCATCTGCCTCTAGGGTTCTTTTTATTTCAAATGTAAATATACCCAGTTTAGGAGAGATCATGTTTTATGCATTAACATCCACAAATGATGTGGACGAGGGAGAAGATGAATAAATTGTTACAAATGTACGTCAGTGAGTCCAACTTTCTAAAGATTATTTACTTTGTATTTAACAAATGGAAGTGTTTATTGTGAGCTAGACATATGACTTTGTGGGAATTGGCCATGGCTGAACGCCTTTATATTTGAAATTTAATTTTTCACCTGTAACTCTACTTTAGTTGTCATCGGCCAATTTGGATCTGAAAACCCCACACAACATCTGTATCCACAGGTATAATGAGAAAAATGACAAAACACAGAGTGTGAAAATGAACACCCACATCCAGATTTAATTAGATCCAACATTTATATATTTATTACCTGTACCTAACCACTGGTATCGAAAAACTTGTTCATGCAGAATGAAGATAAAATTCTGGATGGAAGCACTTAGCAAAAAGCTTTCACCATTACTGGTAAGTGGCTTTGATGAACCTCCAAAGATCAGGGAGTGGGTGGTGTATAATGCTGCTTTCAGTAATATTTCAGCACTATTTCAGCAATATAATGTAAGCCTGTAAATAATCATTCCCAATCAGGCAAACCAGTGATTGAAAGCATGAGCAACAATCCACTCCCTCAGTGAACGATGACATGCAGTAAGCTTCAGCCTTGACACGGAGCCTAACTGACCAAGCAGAGGTTCCTGGGGACCTGGTCTCACCCTGAATCCCAATAGCGATGCATAATCAGCTGTCGTTGGGGATGGGGTGGTGGGGTAGCCTAGTGGTTACAGCATCCCCTCATGACACTAAAGGCCCAGGTTTAATTCCCCACATGGGTACAATGTGTGAAGCCCATTTCTGGTGTTCCCTGCCGTTTTATGGCTGGAATATTGCTAAAAGCGGCATAAAACCCAAAAATATACCCACTAACTTTTGGAGGATAATAATACAAGTAGCTTTCTGATGAACAGGCATGAAGCAGGACATACTCACCCTTTTCACGAACACCTGGTGTCATCACTGATTTTCAGTGAGCCTGTCATATACATTTTACAGCTACTTGGCTTTTTACACCCCTTGGAATCTGTTTTGTTGGATAATCAAGATTGGTTATTCACTGGCATTGATATTTTATATTTAAAAAGAAAATATCATCAATTTTGCTTGACATCATGGTGACATGAACACCTTGGTACTGTAACATCAGCAAGATATTTAAGTGGTTTCATTTCTTACCTCGTTACTCATTAAAAAAGGATTTTAATACACAAATTGAATGTCCCAACAGTTTCTGATCTCTTGCATCTTGCATAAGAACCTAGAACCTATGGAAGACAAATAGCAATTCTGGACTGTAGGATGGTTTTGTTGATTTCTCCACTAAAAACATCCCTTACTGATTGTAATGTGTACTGTTAGACACGTGGAAGTCCACAATCACCCTGAATATCACAAATATAAAACATCAAAGCCAGAGAATAACCAGGCTTGATTATCTACTGAAACCGATTCCATTGGGTGTAAAGGCAAAATAGTGGTGACGATGATATGAATGGATCACTGAAAATCAGTGATTACACCAGGTGTTTGCGAAAGGCTATAAGAAAACAAGAAAAACAAACATCACTTATGTATTCTTTTGGATTTTGAGAATATTGGTATGTCATGAGGAGAGTGCTCGCCTATGATACCATCATATATTACAGTGAAAGGATCACATTTAACCTTTCACACCTTTGTATTCTTCATAGAAAGTTTCATGTCTACTTATCACAAATTCATTGCACTTTCCATGGGATATATTGCATAATGTATTGATGCCATTGAATACTGGAACACAATGTGGTCATAATAAAATTGTTTGATAGGTATTTCTTAGAAGCTGATGGATGAAAAAGTAGCATTTATGGACACCAACTTTTTTATTTTACAGAATTGGTGACGCTTCGGTATAGATCCATCACAAAATGTTTAAAAATTGTGACTTGAACCACAGAATTTCTGATCATGAGGTCCACACCTTATCCACAGGACCAATGTGTTGACAATGAAGGGACCACACACGTCAACTAATACCTGCAATAGGTTGTTCTACAGTTACAATATTTCAATATTTACATGAGGACATGCAAGGTGGGCACTCCATTGATACATCCAGGATCTTGTTACCACCCTGCCTGTCTGTGGCCCCAATGGAAATGCCATATACCATCTGCTTGTATAATCTAATTTTGAATTTTCATTTTTGTTTTCTAAATGCCAGATGAATTTCATTTGTCTGGCTTGTTTTTATAGCTTATGTTGTAAAATGAAACATGTTGTCCTTTTGAGGTTTATTCTTTAAAACAATTACTTGAAATTAAAAAAAAAAACAAGACAAAAATAAAGAAGACATAATTTAAATCACTTTTCGGAAAGTTCCAACAAGAAGAAAATATTTGGTATGGGGTTAATATCCATGAATTATTTTTTAGCCTTTGTTGGAGATTATTATTAAACATATTTTATTTTTGAAAAAGACAAAGGGATTGGGCACAAGTGCAGCACTTATTACCGCCTTCTCCCTTGTTGGAGATTATCAACATAAATCCTAAATACAGTAAATTCATCATTCAGAGACTCAAGTTCTTCTTTTACATCACCCCTTTATGTTTTTGTAAACCTATGTTGATGATACAAACTAACGGAACAGGGGTTAGGGAAGTATTTGTTTGAGGTAATGTTCCATACACAGTTAAACAAGAGGGACCTTGATTGACACAGATACTATTGTTTCACTCTGTAGCTAGTTAATATCAGGCATCAATAACTGGGGCATCATTTAGCTTCCGTTTGATGCATTTTGGTGTAAATAATACATCAATTCATCATGTGCCAGATTCAATTCGCCAAGTGAATGCTCAAAGGGTGAAACTATTATTACCCTGGTAAATAGATCAGTGTGCACTTGATTTTCATTCCCAGCTCCCTGGGGAGTATACAACCCAATCTGCCTGTGAGACACTAGGTTAACAGTAACATTACCATATCATCCACCGGGTACCCATTCACTGCTAAGGGGATGCCACATGTAACATATACTTCAGGGTGGGTAGAATTGAAGCACGAGGAAATATCTGTTGTCACACTTACAGTCACCCATCCACCTACTCTCCACCACCAGTGTTGCTTAACTTTGCCTTGTTTGTGACCTGTGTGCTGTACACAAAATGTCCCACCAGTGGTTCTTTATGTATTGCCATCACTTTTTGTTAAAACAGTATCCACGTGAGTTGTATTTCAGTTTAAATAAAATATCTCTGCTTACCCCTTTGAAACCCTGTGAAGATCCGGGTTAGAATTGGTTTAGAGCAGCCCATGCTTGCCGTAAAAGGCGGCTATGCTTGTCGTAAGACCTGACTAATACGATAATGTGGTCAGACTTGCTGACTTGGTTGATGCATGTCATTGTATCCCAATTGGTTCGATCGATGCTCATGGTGTGAATCACTGGATTGCCTGGTTCAGACTCTATTGTTTACACATCACCATCATATAGGTGGCATAAACAACAAATAAACAAATCGTTTTGGAAAACCCATGTGGTCAAGTATAAGGCTGACAAACAAAGGAACAAAATCTTGATTTCGAACCAACAACCTGCAGATCCTGGTAGAGCAAGGGCAGCAACTCTGCATAATGATTTGCAGCACCTTAGGTGGCTTGGCCACCTATTGATAAAAATCATCACATAAATGTTTCTGATATCATGCACGCAGGATGTCAATTTTCAAGTATTCACAAATAATCAAAATAATCA